GGGATCTGGCAGTGCCAGTATTGGTGCATGCAGGAGGCTGTCTTTGACCCCGTCAAAATCGTCCTGATGATCGGTGCTCCAACACCATTCCGCATCCTTTTAAGAGGATGGGGTAATGGCCGCGCCATCTCTGCGTAATTTTACGCTGAACTTGTGCAAGTAGTCGGCGAGGCCAAGCCACTTACGCAAGTCCTTCCGATTCATTTGAACCGGCCAATCTACAATGGCCTTGACCTTAGAGGGATCCGCTCGAAGGCCACGCTTCCCAATGAAGCGCCTTAAGAAAGGGAATCTCTTCTTCGCCGAAGATGCACTTGTCTGCATTGGCGTACAGTTTGTGCATGCACTCGAGCACCGCCCTTAGATAAATGATGTAGTTCTCCTCATCCGTCCTCCCGTGCTCCGCACGACTATGAACAAAAATATCGTCAAAGTATTTCTGTGTATACGCCATGTGGGGCCGGAACAACTGCGTCACAAGACGATTAGATGTTGCTGGTGCATTTGACAGCCTTGGGGCATCACCAGCCACTCCCAGAGCATACAGCTCGGAGTGCTTACCGCTGTCAGCGGAATGTCATTCGCTCTCATGAGCAATTGGTAGTATCCATCTACCAAATAGAGTGCACTGTACTTTGTACACCTCACCATGTTGTTCTGAAGAACATCCTTATTAGAATCGGCGGTTGTGCCGGAATGGTGGCAGCGTTGAGGTTATTGTAAGCATGAACGATACGCCACTTGCCGTTCGGCTTCCGAATACAAAAGGTGGGTGTCGAATGGGGAGACTTACTCTCATGCAACATCTCTGCGTCGTGCTTCGCACGAAAAAAGGCGTTAATGACGTTGCTCTGCTCTTTCGGCAGGAGCCATTGGCGTGTTACGCAGTAATTGACTCCCGGAACCAGGTCAATCTCATGACGCACACCTCGGTCCGAAGGTAGGACTGAAGGCCGGTCTTTGGAGATGACATCTTAATATTCCTTTACAAAAGGAAAGTACGGATCCAAGGGATTCCGTAAGATCAACGATCTGTTCAGCACTCTCTTGGTGTCTTCCAAGAATGCTTCATCCAGAAGCGATGACGAGTTGATCTCCTCGTCCAGTTTTACAATTACCACTTCGACCAAATCGCCTTCAAGGCACTGCCAAACTCTTCAAGGGACATCTCGTCCAGCTCGAGAAGAGCGTCTACTGCAGGCATAGCCTCGAGGCGGACGTCTCCAACTTTCTCCCCGTTATACTGTTGACGAGGGTGTATAACTGTGTACCGTCGTCTACGGGAGACACACCCTGAATCGGGGTCGACGCCCGGCGTCTTGCAGCCCGCATACGGCATCGCCGTCTTCGTTGCCCTGTACAGAGGTTCTAAGTTTTGTTGGACCAGTGTGAACACGTACTCCACGTCGTCCGGTGTCACCCTCAATCTCCGCTCCTTTGGAGCTCCGATGTTATCAAAAACATCCGACAAAGAACTGCAAACCCC